CTTTAACTCACTTTCTGACGGACCTTGCAGGCGGTGTGCCCAGGGATGCACAAAGGGAAGACGTCATTATTTAAGAATTTGGCAAGGTGGCCATGGCACCTTCTTTGCACTGGCAGAAAGACGATTCTAAAAGTCCACCGTGAGCAGCCTCCAGGACGCTGCCCGCACTGGGCATGGGTGAGTTTAAGCAAGCGAGAGGGAGAAATACAGGCTGGTGAAGAGAAACTGGGCTGCTCAGAAATGCCACCCCATTCCTCCTGGCCCCTGCGGATGTGATGGGGATACAACAAACCTGCAATATCTGGGGCTTTTCCACTCTGATTGAGCAACTTGCTGAAATACAGGGTTCGGAGCTGGAAGGGATGCCAGCCTGCCCAGCCTAGGAGAAGGGATGGGGGTCTGCATCCCCTCAGAACCTCACACAGCCGTTGCCACAGCTGTCCTTCAAGCTATGCCCAAGGGCCCTCAGTCTAGTTCCCCCTCTGGTCTTATGGCTGTTACTCACCTATGTTGATTTGTCCCTGTCCCTCAGCTGAAGATCCCCGTAAGGACAATCCCTATTATTATTTGTCATCTTTAGGACATCGTGATGTTGCTGAACGCCCCAGAAATAAAGGAGAACAGAGATGCAAGGGTTTTTCCTTAAATACAAGCATTTACTCATGTTTGTGTCTTGCGGTGTGATAGTGGAGGCACCAACCATCCCAAAGGTCAAAGCAACATCCCCCAAATATTTGCAGCAGTACAGATGTTGATCAAGAGCCCCAGACAGTGGCCCCATCCAGGGCCTTCTCCTTGTTCTGGCTCAGCTTTCTTTGTGAAGAGCATAAGCAAAAAGCAGGTGGAGATCCTGACCCACGATCCAGCCAGTCTGAGTCGCAATCCAGGGCTGTAGGGAAGAAATATCCCAACATGTTTTCGAACACAGAGTCATTCTTCCTCCTTACTTGATTACCAACAGTTTTCTGCCCTTGCTCAGATTATCCTCCTGGGATAAGTTATGCAGCATCCCTCAATGATTAAAGAAATAAAAGGGAAAAAAAAATATCAGTACTTTAGCAGAAAAGTCAAAAGAGTCCATGACAATCACTCGCCTTTCTCCAGACTTCATTGTCTGCACAAGTCTAACCAGCAGGCAACAATCACATTCATACCAGCATTATTCCTTTCAAACCCAAGTAAAAAGTCAAGCAGTAAACAAGAGGAGGCTTTTCAAAGGAAACCCTTTGCCTAGTTCTTACCACATTTCGTGTAGAAGGATGGTTTTCTTCTATGCACAAGCCATTTTCAGAACCATCTCTTGCATGTCAGCTCACAGCACCAGAAAGCGCAAGGCTTCTGCCATGGCCATGGAGAATTCAGCTCTGGGAAGTCTCATTTCCAGAGAGACGTATAAACAAAAAGCCACAAGACGTTGGGAAAAATGGCTAATGACAGGAAAGTCAAAGAGGTAGATCCGTCACATTAGCAGTGAGCTCGGCGAGGGTTCGTGAAGCAAAGGGTAATGACAGCAGCCTACCACACTCTGGAGAAGACCGATTGTGGAAGCGGGGCAAAAGAAATGCGTGAGGAAGTGTGAGAAGGGCTGCAAAGCCACAGTTTTTACAGAGATGCTCTCAAACTCAGGGCCACTGCTACCATCCTTGCCCAGGTTTATTCAGGTCCTGAAGGGCTATCTGCCAGAGCTGGAGATGTCTGGGGTGGAAGCAAAGGTGTAGAGGGTTGGAAAAAAAACCTTCTTGCACTACTTTCTCTGGCAGAGTGTTGCACTGACTGGCACTGGAAGCCTCCGGAGGGTGACAGCAGGGTCCAAGTTTTCCCCTCCTTTTACCTCAGAGGGTGCTGGTGCTAGCCTGGGCCAGGGAAAGGGGCTGCATGTTCCCCTGGGACCTTCCTGCTGGCTTTTCTGTCCAAGCAGGGTTAAGAGAGAGAAAACGCACCCAGTCAGATGGATCCCCTCAGCCCTTGGGGCCAAGCACAGGGCTTATTCCCTCTGGATCCTTCATCTGATGCCGATTGCCTCGCTCTGGCTCTCGGTCCCTATGAGACCCTTCTAGGCCAGCAGATCTCACAACCCTGGTAAGTCCAGGTGTGGGCCCAGACCACAACACCTCCCACTCAGAGCATTGTCACTTCACTGTCACCTCCCCACCACCGTCACTCCTGCCAGCCTGACCCTTTGCACCCTTCAGCTAATTACAGCGCTTTCCGATTTCCCGCAGGACACAAATGGAGCCCAAGGTCCTCACTGCTGATTGACCCCTCCAGTCCTTTCCCAGCTCTTCCCTGATGGGCTTGCGGTCAAGATGCAAGGAGGGAGAGGGGAAGAGGACTGCATATTCAGCACTTGACCCTGCCTTTTCCCAGGCAGAAATTCAAATGGGACCTCTCTAGGAGGGGATCACGACATCTCCCCGGGGCATTCCTAGCTATTGTGGCTCCTCTCCTCTACCCCAGGCTGTGTGTGTTTGTAGTTACCAAATGCAAATCACATTTCCCACCCTCCTGGCTGAATCTCTCACTCCACAAGATCCTTCCCCTGTTTTTTTCTCACCAGCTAGTTTTGCAATGCTCTGAGGAGTTCACAGCCCCTCCTGGTTTCACCTCTCTCTGATCTGGCGATGCACAGGGCGGTGGCTAGAGGGAAGGTATTTAAGCAATCCTCCTAATTAAGTGTCTGCATCACCTCTCGGCTCAGCCTGGCTCTGGACACAGAAACTGCAGCTATTTTGCAGCCTGGCAGCTGAAGACTCCCTTTTCTGAGGAATG